GTGTCTGTGTGTGTCTGTGTGTGTGTCTGTGTGTGTGTGTGTGTGTGTGTGTCTGTGTGTGTGTGCGCGCGTGTTGGCCTGTTCAGGGCCAGCAGAGCCTTCCCTCCCAGTGATGGCTCTGTTTCCTGGGTGAGAGCCACGCCATCCGGGTCCCACAGAGATCGGAGAACTTCCCTATGCTGAGGAGGAGGGGTGAGTGCGAGCCACGAGACAAGAAAGGTCGTTAGGCCCTTGAACTGTAACCTAGAAAAGATGGAACCTGCTGAGGTCCCGGGGTCAAGACCAGCCCTCTCTTCAGTTCCATTCTGGGGAGGGAACAGAAAAGGAGGCTGTCCTGAGACCAGGGCCTCAGAGAGGCTGGGCAAGAGGCTGGGACATCAGGCTGCCGGTGCCTTGAGTGTCACTGACTTAATACTGACGGGGAAACGAACCGGGATGGGGAACCCGGTCCTTGCCAGGGCCCCACAGGTGGGGCTGCACCGTCCATTGCCCCGGGCCTGCCTTGGTGGCAGTCCCTGGCAAGCCTGTGAGGCCCCAGAAACAAGGGGTGACTGGGCTGACAGAGCACAGACCTCCTTATCAGGTCGTGTGCCACCTGTGTCTGGAGTGTGGCTCTAGTGGCTGCACAGGGACAGAGCAGGAGTTGACATTCTTGTACAAAAGATCCCTCTATTTAGTGCCAACATTGTGTATTGTTACCGAAATCCACAGAGGGAGAGGGTTTGCTGGGCAAGATGCGCAGAGAAGGTGGGGCCTTGGAATCGCAGAAGGTAGTCTTCGAGAAGCAGAGAAACCACCTCAAACATGTTTAACAGAGTCGGGCTGGATGCTCAAATAGCTTCTGCCCACCCGTCTTACCCATTCGTGGCACGAATAGGAAGTCTGGCGTGGGGGCTGGGGGTGCCTGGAAGGCACCGTCGGCTCCCTTGTCTTATGATCTGCTTGCTCAGGCGCATAGCTCTCTCGTCTCAGAACAAATGCCCGAGTGACAGCTCACACGTCCTCTGCGCCTGTTGTCGCTTGTTGGTTTTAGGGAGGCCGCCTCCACCTGGCCCAGGCGTACGGGCTTGTCCTTCGTGTGCGCACTCGTCCGCACGACAGATGCTTGCTGAGTGCCTGTTACGTGCAGGTGTTACAGATGGTGGGGAATGCGTCCCCGCCTCTAGGAAGTTCACGTTCCGGCAGTAACCAAGGGAATACGTCGGGTCATAGTGGCAAGAAGAAAAGAAAGCAGTTCAGGGAACAGAATGACAGGGTTGAGGGAGGAGGTTGGTGTCTTTTGATCGGTCAGGGAATGTCTCTGTGATCGGGTGACGTTTGGCAGAGGCCTGAACGGAAGGAGGGACGTGGTGCAGGGAAGGGCATCCAGAACACAGGGAGTGTGGCTCCTGCTTTGGCGGTGTAGAGACGGTGGTGCGGCTGGGATGGAGTGGATGGCAGATAGGAGCGGCAGGACGGGGAGCGGGGGCCGCCGGAGCTTTGCAGGACCTGATGAGGACCCGGGGTTTTCTCTGAGTGCTGTGGGAAGGGGCCGAGGACCGCGAGCCCGGCTGTGCCAGAGCCGACCGGCGTTGAAGAGACCCTAGTCAGGAGGCACTTGCGGGAGCCGGAGGGGCTGGCGGCTCAGCCTAGGGTGGTAGCAGCGAAGGTGTTAAGAAGTCGTCGGATTCTGGATGTTTCCATGGTCTGGACCATGAAGTTGTGTTAACTAGACATGGGGTGTGAGAGGACGAGAAATGAGGGACACCCCAGCTTGTGGCGTACTGGCTGACGGCACAGGTAGCCTTGGCATGTCCCGAGGTGGGTGGGGCTTGGGGAGCAGCGCAGGAGTTGGGGTTGGGACATGCTACGCATGCAGTGCCTGCCAGCCATCCACGTGCTGGGGTCGAACGGCCAGTTGGAATTCAAGTCTGGAGTTCAAGGGTCAGGCCTGGGCTGGAGTTGAGTTTGGGAAGCCATCATATTAGGCCGTGTTCGGACTGCAAGGATACATGTGATTGTGTGAGGGGAGAGAGTAGAAAGAGGAGAGGAGGGAGCCTCAGGGCTCTGAGCTGAGCCGCGCCATAGAGTCAGAAAGACGGAGGGTGTAGGGGCGCGTGAGATTGGAAGATGCAGGAGTGCAGTGGGGTGAGCACCTGAGAGAAGGGCGCCCTGCGGCACAGGGTGGCTTTCAAGCAAGAAGGCGCAGCCTGGAGGTCACACCAGATGCCGGAGCTGCGCCCATTGGATTTGAATTCCTCTGTTTCAAGAGCAGTCGGGGGATTGGCAGGTGAAGCCTGCTGAGTATGTTGAGGACACAGTGAGAGGAGAGCCAATGGGGTGGTGGGTTCAGAACTCCTTCAAGGAGTTTCACTGTTGCCAGGGGAGGGGGGTGCAGAGGAACAGGGCAGAGTAGCTGGCAAGGAAGATGGGATTAAGTTGAGGGTTGTTGTTTTGTGTTTTTAAGAAGGAAATTGCAGCATGAATGTATGCTGGTGGGAGTGGTCTGGCTCGAGCCATCTTGGTTTACCTGGGATGCATGACTTACAGTTTTGGGTTTCAAGTGTATTTATTTATTTTGAGAGAGAGAGAGAGAGAGAGAGAAAGCGCATGTGAGAGCGCTAGTGAGGGAAGGGCAGAGAGAAAGAGAAAGGGAGAATCCCAAGCAGGTTCTGTGCTGTGAGCGCAGAGCCCAATGGCAGGCTCAAACATTCGAATCATGGGATCGTGACCTGAACTGAAGTCCAGAGGCAGAAGCTTAACTGAACGAGCCCCCCAGGTGCCCCAGCACTTGCAGCTTTAAAGCCCGCCTGAGCTGGTCACCCCAGATCTAGGCGAGGGACACAGTGTTCCTTTTATTTTGCCCAATTCCCGGGTGGCTTTCCACCCCCAGTCTGGTAAAAGCCAAAATAAACCCCCTTCCTAATCTCCAAGCCCCTCGGTCCTTGTTATCCACTAGTGGGTCTCTGGGCCCCCGGAGCAGAGCGGCATCCGGTGGTGTTTCTGAGACCTCAGCGGGAAAGCCGGCCCCTGCAGCACCGGGTGTAGACTGCATGCTCGTATCTGAGGATCACTGCTTAGATGATCCGTTTATGTTGGTCTCTGAGCCAACAAAGGTCCCCTTCTCACGCCCCACGCCCCACTGCTTCTCTGCCGAGCTCTTCCTTCACATGTGGGTGTTGCTAGTTAACTGAGCTACTGGTGGAAAGGGGCCTCTGCTGACAAGCTGTCAGAAAGAGACGGGCCGTCAGCTGTGTTTGCCGTCTTCCTGTAGGAGGACTCGGAGGACAGTGAGATTGACATGGAGGGCGATGAAGACGACGACGATTTGGAAGACGAGAGCGTTGCTGTCTCGCCAGCGAAGCCCAGTCGAAGGGTCCGGAAACCTGAGCCCCTGGATGAGAGCGACAATGACTTCTGACCTTTGTGTCAAGAGACCAGACAGATTAAATCCCTCAGATCTGTAGGTAAACGGGAAGTTAGAAGGTTAGGAGGGAAACCGATTTCACGCACTAAACCAGCTGGACTTGTTAATGAAGCAACACCTCGGTCTTTAGCCTCCTCCGGGTTACTCCACAGAGCTTCAGCGAACTTGGGAAACGCCTGTGTTCTAAGAGATGCACCTCCACAGGACGAAAACCCGAGGAGAAGTAAGGGCCAACACTGTTCATCTTGGCAGTGTTGTCAAGCGTTTCTGCCAAGAGTCGGGGGTGGGGGGGATAGACCCGGGCTGGGCACAGGACTCAGTTCAGGAATTGGCCGGAGGGGGGTGGGGAGGCACTTGACTCCTCTTGACCTGTACAATTTAGAACATTTACTGTACTTCGGCTTTTAATTCTAGCTTTTATTTCATTGTATGGTCCTGTTTTCTTCTGCATGTTTGCAATACCAAGCTTTAAATGTATTTTACTAAAATTTCCTGAATGAAAGTTAGGTAAGTTAGATGAAAACCCACTTTCCTTCAAATCCAGGCAACAGAGAGACGCTCCAGAATAGAAGCACTTCATTTTCTCTCAGAAGGTTGACATCCCTTCCTAGGAAAGCTAGTTAAAGGAAAGGTGTTTCTGACTAAAAAACTTAACCAGGATTGCATTAGGTTGAGTAGCACTAGGATAATGTTGCTGATGTGAAGTGAGAAGTGACAGGTGGAGTTGTGTCGTATTTCTGATACGGAAACGCAGAGCAGCTCTCACAGATTTTTCAGTTATGAACGCAGAAGACTTCTGAAGTTACTTAACTCTTAACAAATGTATTTAATACCGTATTTTTATATTATTAAATAAGTTTTACTTGAAACTATAATCACGTTGTTTATATTCACCTATAATGTAAAATACTTATTTAAGAAAAGTTCACAGGTTACTGTGTACATGTCAACTTTTAGGAGATAATGTGATGATTATTTCTATCATCTTTGCTGTTTCCTCTATCTTTTCCCAACTCCTGTGCCGGAGATTACTCCTTTTTTTTTTTTTTTTTTTTTTTTTTTTTTTTTTTTTTTTTTTTTTTTTTTTTTTAATTTTTATTTTTTTAATTTACATCCACATTAGCATATAGTGCAACAATGATTTCAGGAGTAGATTCCTTGATGCCCCTTCCCCGTTTAGCCCATCCCCCTCCCACACCCCCTCCAGCAACCCTCCGTTTGTTCTCCACATTTATGAGTCTCTTCTGTTTTGTCCCCATCCCTGTTTTTATATTATTTTTGTTTCCCTTCTCTTATGTTCATCTGGTTTATGTCTTAAAGTCCTCATATGAGTGAAGTCCTATGATATTTGTCTTTCTCTGACTAATTTCACTTAGCGTAATACCCTCCAGTTCCATCCACATAGTTGGAAATGGCAAGATTTCATTCTTTTTGATTCCCCAGTAATACTCCATTGTATATATATACCACATTTTCTTTATCCATTCATCCATCTATGGACATTTGGGCTCTTTCCATCATTTGGCTGTTGTTGATAGTGCTGCTGTAAACAATGGGGTGCGTATGCCCCTTCGAAACAGCATATCTGTATCCCTTGCGTAAATACCTAGTAGTGCCACTGCTGGGTCGTAGGGTAGTTCTATTTTTAGTTTTTTGAGGAACCGCCATACTGTTTTCCACAGTGGCTGCACCAGCTTGCATTCCCAAGAGATTACTCCTGTTTTAAAACGGCATTCGGTTAATTCGGCAGTGATGGAGATGTGCCCTCTTTGAAATGACGCACTCACAGGGAATGGGGTGTGTGGGCGCTGTGCTAACCCCCGCAGAGCCCTGCCTTCCACTGCATTGTCCTGGATGTTATCATTTTGGTTTCCCTGACTCTGACCTACCTTTTGAAAAAAAAAAAAAAAAAAAAAAAACCCAAAAAACCAAAAAATGTATTTCTCTTTTCCTTTTGTGATGCTTTCTTCTTTTTTTAAAAAATGTTTATGTATTTATTTTTGAGAGAGAAAGAACAAGCCGGGGAGGGGCAGAGAGAGAGAGGGAGGGAGAGAATCCCAAGCAGTCTCTGCGCTGTCACCTCAGGGCCCAGCACAGGGCTAGAACTCATGAAGCGTGAGATCATGACCTGCGCCAAAATCAAGAGACAGACGCTTAACCGACTGAGCCCCCGGGCGCCCCTTCCTTACGTGATTCTTTCTTCTCATGGGCATTAACGGGAGCCTGACCCAAGCTGCAGGTAACCCCTCCTCCAATAGAGGCTCCAGTGCCATGTGAGGTTTATTATGTCACCTCTTCCTTCGTGGTCCCTCATCCCTTGGTTAACTACTGCACAGTCTCCCCATGGAGTGGCACTTCCTTCCTCGGGCAGCTTCTGTCAGCAAAGGAGCTTCAAGTACCTGATCGTGGTTACCAGTGTGTGTCTGTCACTGTAACAGATCCAGGAGTCAGATATGTACAAGAGCTTGATGACCTCGTGTCTTTTGGGCCAAGCGTCAGAACAGACTCAGGCCCCAAAGAAGATTGTCTGGTTAGGTCAATGAAAAACCCTCATTTAGATCATTGCCAATAGTTCTTTGCTTTTAGCCGTGTAACTAAAGGACCTCTTAAAATGCTTTCCAGATGTGTATTGACTGAAAATGTCAAGGAAGTTTTTAAGTCGTTAATTTTTTTTGGTGGTAGCCATCAAGAACCAAGTCCAAGGACTTCTGGCACTGGGAGGTCTGAAGAACTCGCTGTTTCGGCCGGGCCGGGCAGAATACCTGCGAGTGCTCTTTCGTTCGCATTTTAAACTGTAACATGGTGTCGTGCCGAATGTCTGAAAGGAAGTGGGTTTGGCTGAAGTTAGCAACACGCCACATAAATATCACAGTGGCTAGACTGGCCCGGGAGACTCTGAGGTGCTGGAATCCGGGACTGGTTGAATTGCAAGAGAACTCAAACTGCCCGGAACAAAAGTCCTTGCAATGAGGATGTGAGTGGAAGAGGAGGAGCGAGAGCTCAAGCAGGGATGTCGTGAGGGGAAAACGTAACTGATGGAAAAACCAGTGTGTCTGTGAAACGGTATTCTGATTGTACACTTCTCTTGGGCGATTCGGAAAGAATTAAGCCATAGTGACACAGAAAATGGAGTTTTTAAAAAAGGTGCACTATTCATTCTAAGAACGATAAAGTCCATAGGAGAAAATGGCGCAGGAGTGATCAATGGTAATAAAGTTAAAAGACGGGCACTGACGATGTCTACAAAAACCATGCTCTAACTCCGTCGGAAAGAAGGAGAAACAGAGTGGGAATGTAAGCTGACGTACATCCAAGTGCCATTTCCCATGGAGAGGTCACTAGATAACCTCGAAGATGACAAAGCAAGGAACAGTGTATGTAGGGTATGTAGTTTTGGGAGTGGGAATGTACAGGAAGGGGAGGAACAAGACAGAAGGCTGCTGTTTTCCGTTATAAGCCTGGTCATTTTTGGCTTTTTAAACTACGTGTATTGTGTTGTTTTGACGAAATGAATTTCGGAAAAGGTAAATCTACAGACAGGAAAAGGGTAAGGGCTGGAGACTGAGGTTTGAAGATCATTTTCCTCAGATTGCTCGGGGGAGAACACGTGGGGTGGGAAGAGAGCCAAGGTTGGAAGCCTGAGAAATGCTGTGTCTCGGAGGCAAAGGACACAAGGGGCCAGGAAGCGAGACTGGGAAAGTATTTGCTAAATGTTCTAAAGTGACTGTATTTTGCCTTAATAATTCGGGGGAAATATGTTTTATTTTCCAAAGACTGTTGAAGAAGAGTGACGAGAAGGTAGGAGGGCTGGAAGGTTGTGTGAGGGAAGCCAAGGCAGGGAGAATTTCCACAGAAGGGAGGGGTGAGCAAGCTAAATCCTCCTCCTCAACGGGCCGGAGTCACAACGGGCCACGTTGGCACTTAGGAAATCTGTGGCGACCTCAGCTGGGAGCAGTCGGCACGCGATGGGTCGAAGAGAGGTCAGAATGCGAAGCCAACACGGTGAATGTTGATGAGTGTTCCGCAAGGGGGGTGGTCCCAAGTGAAAAGAGAGGGCCCAGCCAGGGGAGAAGAGTGTGGCCAAGAACATTTTGGAGGGGCAGAGGAAGCTTTGTTTTGTGTTTTGAGAGGAAAACGAGGGTTTTTTTTAAGCTGGAGGGAACTGGTTTGTGGAATGGGAAGGGTTGACTCTATAAGAGAGAGTGTGCATGACTGATGAAGCAAAGTCTTCGTTAGGAGTCCTGCTTAAATCCATATTGTGTATTGGAAACATCAGGCGCACACCAGATAACCACTCGGGCTGATGCTCCTGTTAGGAGTGCGAAGGCTGAGATGGATTGCACGATCTTTTACACCTGGATGTCTACAGCATCTGTTGTAGGTAAGGCTCCAGAACAGTTTTCTGACTTGGGCATCAGGTAGAGCACCCAGAATACTGAGACATTGCCTCACAAGTTGGGCCACAGCGGCCCTGAACTTAAGGGTGGCTGGTCCTGGCCAACAAAGCTGAAAACAGTAAGCTTTGAAAGGATCCAGCTGTTTCTTTCTTTCTTTCTTTTTTTTTTTTAATGTTTATTTATTTATTTATTTTTTCAATATATGAAGTTTATTGTCAAATTGGTTTCCATTGTTTATTTATTTTGAGAGAGAGTGTGAGGAGGGGAGGAGCAGGGAGGGAGGGAGGGAGAGAGAGAGAGAGAGAGAGAGAGAGAGAGAGAGAATCCCAAGCAGGCTCCCTGCCATCAGCACAGAGCCTGACCCAGGGCTCCATCCCACCAACCGTGAGATCACGACCTGAGCCGAAATCAAGAGTTGGACACTTAACTGACTGAGTCACCCAGGCACCCCAGGATGCAGCTGTTTCTAAGTAATGTGTTCCAGAATTAAGCTCAAGAATTTGAAGGCATATAAAAATAGTCTGTATGAAACAAGATAAAATTCCCCGTGTCTGGTGTCCAATCAAAACTTACCAGGCATAATAAGAATCAAGAAAGAGACCAAGGAATGACCACCCCCCCCCATACTCAAATGACAGATGACAGAATTAGTAGGAAAGGACATTCAGACATTTAACTGTACTCCCTATATTGAGATGGCAGAGGGAGGCAGGAGCATATTAAGAGATAAGGCCTAAAGAAAATCTCAAAACTTGGGGAGATTAAAGAAACAAAAACAAAAACTGGGATTGAGAGCAGATGAGGCGCCACAGAAGAGCACATACTGACCCTGAAGACACAGCAGTAGAAACTGTTCAAAATGAAAAAGAAAAAGACAAGTCCCACCGTGCTGTTTATGGGTTTATTGCCTCGCTCCAGTTCACCGTTTGCTCTGTGATAACAGAGCTATTCCTTGTAAATCTCTCTCCTTTGCTGGCTGGCGACATATAGAGCCTTGTCAGTAGGCTGCCAGGGAGGCGGCTTGCTCCCGGAGTCCCTGGAGAGCACGATTTTTCTCCGCTGCTTTGTCCCCTGAGGTTTCTTTGGTGGCTAGGTTCCTGCAGGGCACGGCTTTCTCCGGCATTTGGCTACCGCATCTTTTTTTCTGTCGAGTTCTCCACTCAGCCAGAAACTGCGCAAACCGGAAGACCGCATGGACACACCTTGAGAGTACTAAGAGCCAAAAACCATTCTGAAGTAGCAAAAATAACTTTCAAAACCCAGTAATCCAAATAAATACTACCCAAGACCCATATTCAAATGTCTCCCATTTCCAAATACTTTTCTTTATAGCTGATTGTTTCTCTGCAGCCGAGGATCCAGTCAGAGATCCTGCATTAAGTTGTTATGTCTGTTTAATCTACAATTTAAGACAGTCTCTGGCCTTTTGTATTTTTCATGACATTGATATTTTTGAAGAGGTCAGGCTATTGTGTTTTGCAGAATGCCTCTCGATTTGGATTTTGTCTGACTGCTCCTTCCCGATTAGAGTCAAATCCATATTTTTGGTGAGAATACTGCATCGGCGATGTGTCCTCAGCACCTCCCATCAGGAGCACGTGATGGCAATTTCTCCCATTCGTGCTGATGGTAAGTTTGACCACGTTGTTAAGAAAGCATTTGCCAAATTTTCCATTTTTAAAGTTATCTTTTCCCCCTTTGTAAATGCCCCATGTGGGGTGATATTTGATAATTCCCCTTTGTAAGTATCCCTTTGGGGTGGATATCTTCTTCCTCGATAGGCTGTCACCCATGGTTTTAGCGTACATTGATGATTCTTGCCCGAATACTCATTTTTAAGGGAACATTGGGAACAACATCAATTCGTGTTCAAACTGTCAAATCTTGATAAGCATTTTCCTTGGTTTTTTAGTTGGTGAGAACTGTGGTGTCCACTTGGGAACTTTTTCCTTTCATCACAGACCAACCAACCCCTGAGGGAATTTGTGCCACATGGAACTCAGCTTGCTCGCCTGCATGGGGACACGAGAGGCACAGCAGGGGTCTGGGAAGCCTGATGTCGCCTTCATGGGGACACTGCAGGCGCAGCAGCGGTCTGGGAAGCCAGCTGTAGAATAACATTGAGGCGTCAACATGTAACACGCTATTGACGACCAGTGTGCCAGACCCCACATAACGTGTGTCGGACGTAATCCTTGCCTTTGAGAGATTTGGTAACGGATCAAAGACGGCAAAAACCTTGGAGAGCTTAGTCTCTGTGTCCGGAATTTTATAACTCGAAGCCTTAATTTCTCTTCAAAGCAATTCTCACAGTTTTTCCGTGTATCTCTGAGGATCATACTCCTAAAACCTTCTGTTCTTGAGAAAAGGAAGGTCCCTTCTGTCACCCATGCCAAACGGATACTCTGCATAGGCTTGAAGGTGACAGCTCACTTTGGAGTGAGGGGATGATTTTAACCATTGGAAAAGGACAATGAAAACAAAAGGGGCGCGTGAAGACCTCGGGATATGAAGAAACTCACGCCCGCTTCTCACCGGCTGGGCTTTAAGGCCTAAGTCCCTGCGTCCCATGGCAGACACCTTCCCTCCTCTGTGCCACAGCAGGGAATCTGCGTCACCCCTGCCTGGTCGAAACCTGGGCCGGGAGAGGTGCTCCCAACCCCTTTGGCAGCATCCCTCCTGCCTCTTGCAGGAGACCAGCTTTTGTGCAGGTCAGCATCGTTCCCGGACCACAGGGACGGGCCTTGGACGGGGAGTTTTTGTTCAAAAGCTTCCAGTTGCTTCTGTGTTCTCTCGCCTGATCCACCAGGCATGTTTGCGCTCACATTTCAACAGTGCACGAAGGAGCGTTGGTCTTGATAGCCTCCGAGATCATCCTGGCGCCAGACTCCCCAATGTGATTTCCCTGGAGGCTGGAAGAGAAGGATTCGGACCCGGCTTGAGAGAGGGGCTCAAGGGCCAGAGGCCGGCAAGTCCCTTTAGTAAAGAGCAGACAGTCACTACACAAAATGCAGAACTCCAGGCAAGACCAAGCTTCCAGGATCCCTCCTATGGGGAAGGCCCAGAATGGCTCCCTCTTATACCCGGCTGCCCCGCAGAGCCGCTGAGAGACCTGGGAGTCTGCCAGCTCCAGGAATTGGGTGGAAGGCAGGGCCTGACCTGGGAGCCTGGGAGCCGTGAGCCTGGGGGGGGTGGGTGGGGTGGGGTGGGGGCCAAATGGCAGGGAAGGGCCGAGCCCCACTCACTTGATGTGCTGGAGGCCGTGGTTCCCAGAGAGTGCCGTGGCAACGCATATCACCCCATCCATCCCCAAGGAATTCTCTTGAAGACTAGGCAGAGAAAAGATGCAGACACCATCGTGAGCCATTCAGGACAGAACACGCGCCGGGAAGCAGCGCTGCATCGATCACAGGTGCCCCAGCAAGAGCAAGGTGGCCTTTACCCCTGAGACCAGTGTCTACCGGTAGCCAGGTGGTCCCGTCCGAGCGCCATGGAGGATGGAAGACCAAAAACGCAGGCATTAAATGGCTTACCTCTGACATAAGCTAGATAGAATGAACAAACTCATCTGCAACGTGGACTCTAGTGCTATTTCTAGTCAGAGGGAAGCGGCTTACAGAGGAAGTCAAGAGCGTCTCATTACGTGGGGAGGTTCCAGCAGAGAAGTCTGCTGTGCCAGGGTGGAGGTAGGTCTCTACAACCACTCACTTGAGTCTTCGGAGACTTGAGTTGACCTTCAGAGCATTTGCCAGGGCTTTGGCTCCGGCCACCCCGATGGCATTTCCTCTTAAGCTGTCAGGAAAGATACGAAGCCTAAAGCACAGTGACAGCTGTGGGGTGTAAACAGTACCTCCTCAGACGAGCATGGGCCGCTGGGTAGAGGCAGCAGGGACGTAGCAACCACGGGGGGCGGTTCCTCCTTCCTGACTCCCCAGCCCAGAACAGAGATCGGCTCTGGGGAGCAGGACGCACCAGGAGGGGTGAAGCTGGCCCAACCTGGGTGGTTCGTTGGAGCCCTCGCCCTCCATCCCAAAGGAAGGAGAGTGGGGCTGAGGTGAGAGAGGAGACACTTCCTCCAGCAGTCCCCACATGCTCAGCATCACAGGACCACAAGAGCAGGAATGACTGAGACATGCTTGAGACCCCCACTGAGCTTAAGTCGCCCTTGCCCCCGCCCCCGCCCCCGCCCGGGGTTTGGATCTACTCCTAGACCAAGGTCAGTGGCCAAGGACCCCTACGGAGGACCTCAGGATGTGCGCAGCCTGGGCAAGACCGAGGAGAGCAGGAGCCACAGCGGTGACTCCCAGGGAAGAGGTATGAGGTGGCAGCGGGGAAGCTGGGGAAAGCTTCGTCTCAGTGACGATATTTAAGTGGTTTGTGACTTTCCATGTAAATTGACATTTTTTCCCTTCTGTATCTTCATTTTGAATCAACAGCTTGGTTCGTTTGGGTAAGAGACAGCAACCAGAGACTGGAATACTCACTCGAGAATCTCCAAGGTCCTGTTCACAGCCAGGGCATCCCCTAGCGCCTGGGCCCCCCGGGCACCAATGGAGGCCACCTGCAGACTATGCAGAAGAGAAGGGGTCAGTGCGGACAGGCTGGGGCGCTCCGGCCTGCACCCCGCCTGGCCCAGCTTCCATGTGTCCTTGTCCTTCCTTCTCCACCCCTGGACTGAGGGCTGCAAGTGACAACATAGCGCTGAAAACTGTTGGCCTGTGATCCGTCCAGAGAACGCCGCGCCTCCGGCCTCCCCTGATGCCGAGGACAGAGATCGGGATGCTACGGATACGGGAAGCAGAGGTGGTTCCCTGGAGGGTTTGAGGAAAAACACTCCCTGAACCCTTACTTCTTACTTTGTCCCAATTGCTAACATTAGGAAAATTTAACACCTTCTTGGCGGGGAAGCAACACTGATGTTTGGTATGAAAGCAGGGCTCAGGGCCGGCTGCCTGGGCGGCCGTGCACGTCAACACTTACTACAGAGCGGTGAGGGCCGTGTTGGCCTTTAGTGCGCTGGCCAGTGCGGAGGCGCCCTCGTCCCCGATGGCGTTCTCCTGCAAACTGAACACAGAGCGTGACCCCCGGGCTCACAGGGCACGGGGCTAGCGGCACTCCATCACGACGTCCTGAGCTTGGACCTTCTAGTTTTCATTCAGACTGCGTACACCACAGACTAGACTCCCAGGGTTGCCGAGGGGATAACCGACCCCGCGGCCTCCTAATTAACATGCAGAGGGCTCTGGGGTCTCTATGAACCTGGATCATCAGAAGCAAACAAGAAAAGGGACAAGTGGAAATACTCTTAAGGGTGAGGACAAAAAAATGGGTGTGACAGCCAGAGAATTCAGTTGAAGCCCTTAGTCCCTGGCCATTCTTGCTCGTCAGGGTTTTACATCTTTTTTCTTTTTTTTTCCTTCCCTTCCACATTGGAGTAAAGTCAGTTCCTAGCGCAGTAAATGATGGAGAGTTTACCTCGGGTGGGCATTGGGGTGTTGGAGCAGTTTGCATTCGCGATTTTAGCAGACGTGTTAGTGCGTGTGGTGCCCTGGCCTGATCCTGTCTCAGGTGGGCGGTTGTGACTGAACGAGCCGGCACCGTGGGCCACGTGCTGGGGGGACGGAGGAGCCCGTGGGGTCTCCTGCCCCCGTGTGGTCACGGAGGCCACCGGGAGAAATAGGTCTGAACTGAAACCTGCAGGATGAGAGTTGGGGGAGGGGGCCTGGCACATCCACGGAACCCAAAGAAATGGCATCAAGTGGCTGGTGTGTGAAATGACAGAAGCAGGCCTTTGGGGCCTTTGTTAGAAGCCACACCGAGGGGTGGGTTTCACTCTGCAGGCACTGGGCAGCCATTGAAGCATCTCGGGACGGGGACAGATACACATTTTGGAAAGATGTTTGGCCAGCAGTGTGAGCGGATGGACTGGATGTGGAGGCTGCTACGGGGACGCAGGGTGAGTGGAGCTGGTGGCCTGACGGTGGCCGCGAGGGTAGAGGGAGACGGTGGGGCCTTGGGAGGAGAGTCGCAAGTGGGAAGCGAGAACAGAGACGATGTTTCTAGCTTGCAGGCCGGGTTGGCCGGGCCCGTTCGTGAGGCGGAGCTGAGAACAGACTCGTGGGGAGGCAGCGTGGGCAGTGATTACGTGGGTCTGGGGCTCAGGAGAGAGGGGTCTAGATGCAGGGGCACCGGGACTTTGAAGTCCAGGAGTGTGCGAGAGGACAGCTTCTGGAATAGAGAGCTCGTTCGAGACAAGATGGCCTAGAACAGATCTCTGAGGAGCCCCAGGATGTCAGTGAGACAGAAGAACCAGCCAGAAATGGGCTATCCTGGATGCCAAGGGAGAAGCCATGGGCGTGGTCCAAAGCAGGCGAGACTCAGAGGGTTAGAGACAGGGTTCCCATTCAACTCCGCGGCTCCACTCGCTCATGTGCCCAAGAGAAATGAAAGCGTATGTCCAGGCAGAAGCTTGTACATGAACGTTCACAGCAGCGTTATGAGAGCCAAACTGTCCAAACCACCCAGATGTTCCTCGACAGATGAGGGGATAAATGGCATGTCAATCTGCACAGCGGAATAGGATTCAGCCACAGAAAGGAATGAAGCCCTGATTCCTGCTGCAACCTGGGTGAACCTTGGAAACCTGATACCGAACGAAAGACCTTGGTGGCAAGAGGTCACACGCTGTTCAGTCCCACGTACGTGAAGTGTCCAGTACAGGTAACTCCGTAGAGACAGAAAGCAGACGTGTGGTTTCCAGGGGCTGGGGCACGGGGGCAATGGGGGGTGACTGCTGATGAGTGTGGGGGTTTGTTTAAGGTTTCTTTAAAGGAAATGGTCTACAATTGTGGGGATGGTCGCACAACTCTGTGAATATACTAGAAGCCAGCGAATTGTACACTTTATCTGGGTAGATTTTTGTGGTAGGGGGATTACGTATCAACAAAGCCGTTTAAAAAACAACAAAACAGGTAAGAACAGAAACACGCCCGCTGGCCTTAGGGCAGAGGAGGCTGTGTGCTGAGGGCCTTTGGCACGAGCCGAGCCATGTGCCTGGTGGACCCCGAGGTTTCAGATTTCCTTGCCGCCCTGCCCTTCCCGCCGCCCCTGCCGAGGCCCCACTCACTCGAGGCTGGTCAGGCTCCGGTTGAGTTGTAGTGCTTGTCCCAGGGCCTTGGCCGCACCGGCCTGGATGAAGTTCCACTGCAGGCTGGGCAGACACAGACGCGTGTGACCATGTGGGCCAGAGCAGAGCCCGGGAGGCCCTGGAAGGTGCAGAAAGAGGGGACTCCTCCCAGGAGAGTCTGACGGCAGGGAAGGAGTGCTTGTAGGACGGGGTCCTGGCCACTGGTGGACACAACTCCTGCACCCCGCCTCGGGTCTAGTCCCAAGGGGTCAGTCAGCACTCTCTGCTTAGGGGTGGGCACAGGGACGGGCTCAAATGAAGACTCCAGATGGCCCCTGCATGAGGCTTGTGGTACTTGGAGGCGTGAGGTGGGTGCCCACCTCCCACCTTTGGCCTCTCAGTGGATCAGCCCCAGGAAGCGGGGGGGGGGGG